GACATGCAAGACACAACGAGGTCAATGACATCATCAAGAGGAGCCTCGTCTCAGCTCAGTGTCCAGCGGAGAGAGAACCTCGCATCCTAGGGGACCAAAACCTGGATTACCCCGCATTTCGTCCTGACGGCACCACCATATGAAAAGGGACAAACAGTTGGTGTGGAAATACACATGTGTATCCACCCTGGCTGACACCTATGTACACTTCGGTGCTGATCAAGCTGGTGGGGCGGCCAACCACAGGGAAATAGCAAAATCAGTTAAATACAGGCGATTGGAAGGTCAAAAGACATTTGTTCCCATAGTATCTGAGACGCATAGTCCCTGGGGTAAGAATGCATTGGGATTTCTCAAGGAATTAGGCTCCAGACTCATTGAAGTCACCAGAGACCCAAGGGCTGCCAGTTTTTTGTTTCAGCACCTCAGTGTGGCGATCCAGAGGGGAAACGCATGCTGCGTCCTCGGTTCCTGTCCGGAAGAGTAGTTTGCGGAAAAGTTAGTTAGCGGAGTTAGCTAGCGGAAAAAGTGATCCATAACCTTTAGGCACTCATTGTATAATCCAATGTAAATCTTGTAACCTTTAAATATATAATAAAGCAAAAAAAAATACAAAAGGAAGGGGGTGGTAAAAGAAAAACACACAGAAACTGTATCGGAGGGGACCTAAACATTCCCTCTAATGCGTTATGCGTGGTTTCCTCCGAGGCTAAGGGCCCCCTCCTTGCAGCCAGAGGTAGTACTCCCTTCCCTTTATATATATATATATATATATATATATATATATATATATATATATATATATATATATATATATATATATATATATATATATATATATATATATATATATATATATATATATATATATATATATATATATAAACACACGCAGACAAGTCATGGATAAACAGGTCTGTCTACCTATGACTAGTCTGTCTTTCATGACTCTTCTGTCGTTTCATCACGTATAAACATTTATGATTTAAAATATAATTTATATGTTGGCGAGATTTTGACGGTGAGGTAATTGTCATGGATGAATTATTATAGATATATTAAAATGGAAAAAAACTGAACAGTTAGCTTCAAGGCCGCCAGCGAGTCACTTACTCCCTCTCAAGCTGTCTTAAATAACCCAGAAAGGCAAAAAACTAACTTCATTATTTTTTGTGGTAACCAAGGAGAACTGACTGGAGGTGCAGAGGAAGTTGATATGTGGTGGAAGCTCACAGTTGACCAGGAGACTGCTACAGAGTAACTTGAACCTACACCTCATGTGAGTCCATCACACCTCAGGTGAGTCCATCACACATAACCTAAGTGTGGGTGATCTTCGATCATCATACTTAGCCATCTTTATCACCCTAGTAACTGACCTTAGCACACTTGCGCCCGAGGCCTGACACATATAACCAGAAGGTCTGAAATGGAATCTGTCTGTTTCCTATGAATTTTGTCTCAATTTGGCCTCCAGGCAAGCAGGGGCTCAACAAGCCCGGAGATCCTAAGAGCCATACACAAGTGCGAGGCCCCTACATACAGGAGCCTCAAAATTGCTGTTCCCCCAAGTACGAGGCTTCCCCAAAACCCGGTTCTCATCCAAGCGCGTGTACCCCACCAATGCATGGCTTCTACATGCGCGGATTCCACACAAGTGTCTCAGTGTGGGGTCTATGTCTAGTCTATGTACAAGTGTCTATGTAAGGAGAAAGGACAGAAAGGGAACAAGATGGATGACACAAGTGGTAAAAAGAGCGCAAATAACTAAACGGAACCTCTGGAGACGGTATAAATCAACGATGAACATCATGGATTATGAGATATATAAAAGGACATTAAATTCAGCCACCTAGGAAGTCAGATTAGCCGAAAGAAAACGTGCCCAAAACATTTAGGAAGATCCAAAATCATTCTATGCATATATACTTAGTAAAACCAAAACAAAGGACTCTATAGGACCCCTAAAAATGAGATTAACCAAGTTATACTGGATAATATAAGGGCAGCAAACATACTTAATGAATACTTTACATTAGTGTTCACACTAGAAAGATTGAACGACATCCCATCACCCACGCAAATATTGGAAGAAGGTGAAGAGAATGAATTAAGGGATTTACCCATTACATGCAACACAATCAGGAAGAGCATTGCCAAACTAAAAGACTCAAAAGCCCCAGGTGTGGATGGATTTCAGTCCAACGTCGTAAAGGAACTGGCAATTGTACTATTCATACCACTGAAACTCCTTTTCAGAAAATCCCTGGACTAAGGGACAGTTCCCCTGGATTGGAAATATGCAAAAGTTAATCCCATTAAAAAAAAAATATTCTCGGCAGAAAACTCCCGTCCGATCAGCTTGACATCACACATCTGCAAGCTCATGGAGAGAATCCTAAGTGAAGGAATCATAAAACATCTCACATAGAAAAATCTTGTAAAATCAACGCAACATGGGTTTGATAAAAATAGATTCTGCCTCACTAACCTGCTCACATTTCTGGAAACAGTAACCGGCAATTCAGACAAAAGACTTCCGGTAGATGTAGCTTACATGGACTTTGCTAAAGCTTTTGACAAGGTACCACATGAGGGACTAGCAAGGAAATTACAGGCACATGAAATAAATGGGAGAATACTAGAATGGATAAAACAATGGTTAAAACATAGAAAACAGGGTCGTGCTAAATCGGAATGAATCTGATTGGGAAATGTGCTAAGTGGGGTCCTTCAGGGGTCCATTTTGGGGCCAACCCTCTTTGTCATATACGTCAATGACATAGATGTGAATATTACAGATCACTTCATCAAATGTGCAGATGACACTAAGATCTATGGTAAAGTGGGAAGTGAAAGTGATATTGATCTGTTGATCTGCTATCAGAACAATAACAAACTCTGCTTTCAGACAACACTCAGCCTCCCTGTTTAAATCCCTAAACATACTAAACATAAATTCACTCCACACATTCTCTTGTGCCAATTACATTTATAAAACCCTGTTCTTAAGTGCAAATCCTGTTTTGAAACTCTTCCTGGACAACTGTAATAGAACACATAATCACCACACCAGAAATAAATATATCTTTAATATCCCCAGAATCGAAATTAATCTGTGTAAACACTCTTTGCAAATAAAGGGACCTGGTCTATGGAACTCACTCCCTAACGAATTGAAAAGCTGTCAAACTTATGCCTTATTCAAAAATAAAACCAAAATGTGCCTAATTTCATCTTCATAGTCTCCTACCTAGTGCTTGAAACAAGCACTGTATATAGTGTTACCCAATCCCCAATATATGTACCAAAGCCATACAACTTTACCATTGTAATCATCATGGTTGTTATACTGAACACATAGTTTACTGCATTATACCTTGCAATGATCCTCAAATTATGCTACAATGTACCAGTGGATTGCCCATAAGTTTTCGCCTACTAATCCTGTCAAATTTCTTATACAATGTATTTTTTATACTTTCTTGCAATGCATTTTTATACTTTCTTACAAATGTACATGTAAACATTTTTTTTTAATTTTGCTAGAAATTACCTTCTTAAAATTATCTGTTAGATTAATGATATGCCCGAAACGCTATGCGTGCTAATGGCTTTACAAGATTATAAAACTTCAATGCTCTGTACACTCATAAACCCAATGTACCTTCTTGAATATAAATAAATAAATAATAAATAAATAAATATCGAGACCTAAGAGATCTGCATGAACTCCACAAATGGTCGATGACTGGCAAATGCTCTTTAATGGCGATAAATGCAAGACCTTGCATGTGGGGCATAACAATCCACGTCACGACTACCAAATTGACAGCAGTACTTTACAATAGATAGACGAAGAAAAAGTCCTTGGAGTCAGAATCCATCATTCACTAAAAGTTGCACAAGTCAGAGCGGCAGTAAAAAAAAGTGAACCAAACCTTGCGAATAATCAAGCGTACCTTTACCTTCAAGGAAAATAAAGTAGTCGTTCAACTGTCTAAGTCTCGGGTGCGCCCCCACCTGGATGCATCCAGGCATCGAGGCCTCATCTCCAGAAAGACATAGCTGCTCTGGAGAAGGTGCAACACAGGGCAACTAAAATTATACCAGAGCTTAGTAATCTATCGTATCAGGAACGGTTGAGGGCCACTGGGTTAACTTTAAACACTGCAGACAAGGCGTCACAGGGCGTATCTAATAGAAACCTTCAAAATACTAAACAATATGGAGGATGTCGATCGGACAATTTCTTTAAAAGGTCACATGCAACACAAACAAGGAGCAACGGGTTCGAGCTCAACAAGCCACAATGTAGGACAGAAAACAGGAGATGCTTTTTCACCCATAGGGTTGTAAACCCGTGAAACCGCCTTCCCGCCGAAGCTGTAAACGCCAAATCTCTGCTGGGTTTTAAGATACAGATAAAAAAGATTATCCGGGCAAATGTGGGGACCTTCGACAAGCCGCCAGCTTCCTGTCTTCGTCGAGGCCACTAGTATTAGTGGTCCTCAGGTAAATTCAGGTAAAGTGCGAGGCCCTCATAAGCACAGGTCCCCACAGGTCCTGATTTTCGTGTGTTGCTCCTGGTTCTTGTGTGTTGCTCCTGGTTCCTTTGTATTGCTCCTGAATCCTACGTGTTGCTTCTGGTTCCTATGTGTTGCTCTTCGTTCCTGTGTATTGCTCCTAATACCTGTGTGTGTTGTTTATGGTTCCTGTGTGATGTCCCTGTGTGTTGCTCTTCGTCCCTGTCTGTATGTTGCTCCTAATTCGTGTGTTGCTCTTAAGTTCTTATCAAGGTTCCCTTACCCATCGCTTGACCTCCGTGATGCGGTCCTCACCCCTTGTCCTAGATCTGCAAGACACAGTATTTCTCCTACAAATCTAAAACATGCTAATGGGTAACTTACACCCATTATGCACGTAATTATACATGCACGTCATTATACATGCACGTCATGTATTAGCACAGTATCAAGGAATACTGTCTTATGGAATATCAGTGTTACATTTTATGGATTGATGAATAATCTTCTGAAAATTCTCAATTTAAAATGTTAAGAGTAATTCAGAATTTGAAAAAAAAGTTGAAAATGCCCTAAACCGCCACACTGGCAACCGTCATGAGGAGATAAAAGGTTTAAACTATGAGATAGGTTTTTCCAATTCACGTTTTAAGAAATCCGGCCTCTCGGAAATAACCAGAATATTATCTTCAATAAACTTCCGTTTGATTTTCTCAAAGCAAAATTGTGTGTTGGTGAAGCAGCATGGTAGTTGTTGGCTCACTGGGGGCTGCGACCCGGGGCCTGGTGACGGCAGGGCGCAGCCTAGTGACGGCGGGGACGCTGAACCTGCTGAACTTCCTGCTGGTCACACTCATCAGGGACGTTGATCACCAGGACTACCAACTCTTCACTCCTCTCGCTTCCCAGTACGACTTTGTCATTGGTATGTCGCATGTAATCATTTTTTTTTTTATTGGCCAGTTTAGGCACACAGCAGTGTACCCTGTTATATATCAGTACCTGTACTTTGAAGGGCGATGAAACAGGGATGGGGTGGGGGGGGGGGCGAATATTGGAGAGAGGGAGGCAGGGGGAAGAGAGACCCGGGCGCAGCCGGGTGCCCCATCTAGTAGGTCAATACAATGGAGATATATTAATCATACACTCCATACCCATCCAATTGGCTGAGGGTGAAAGTTTACAATCATGTGCATACACTACCTACAGTAAGCAAACTATCAATACTTAGTTAAGATTTCTAGTTTATCATGCATTCGAAGGTCAGTGTGGCATGTGATTCATTGGAGACAGACTCTGAATTCATCAATGATTATTATATTATATCCTGCCCTTGCTTCATACACAAGCACGTCACAGTTAGTCCTGAGTAGATGAGTGCATTCGAAGATGACAGAGTCGCTCATAACGTTGTTATGTCAAGTATTACGGAGCTTGAAAAGTCACTCTCCGGTCCGGCCCCCGGGCCGGAAAGATGGATAGCTTACCACATCAATAACTTTATAATGTAAATAACCCTGACATCCAGTAGTACACCAAGAACTTCAACAAAATCTTGTAGATCTGAGGCAAAGTGAAATCGACATCAGTAATTTCATCTATCAACATACTATCATGCAAGAGGAGCCACACATCTATGGTTCATCCAATAAAATCAGCAAACTTCTACATGTTACTACTGTTCGGCTTAGACTCGGTTACAAGTAGTTTAGTTTTTAGTTTAGTTCGTTTATTATGCACCCCATACCCATCTTGTGGGCGATAGTGGAAAGGGTTACAGGGGCACATAATGGGCTCAGGGACTGAACCCCACAATTCATTTAGCTAAGCAAGTTGCAATCTTGATGAGCTAGTTACAAAATTCAGTATAAGTCGTCACATCATAAATGGGTTCGAGATCGACCACAAGTACAGTGGAGAGCTAGTGTCACAATTGATATGTTTGTCTTGCACACCGCCCTCCATCCAGTGAGCAGCGGTGGATAGGTTACAATCACTCAGTTACTACCTTCAGTTAGCAAACTGGGGAAATTTTTTGGCTAAAATTTCTGGTAGCAGATCATTTTGAATGAAATATTTACACATCGTTGGAACATTGGTTATAGAATTGTCTCTGAATTCACGTATTTTTTCGCACTCCATCACATAGTGACGGAGGGTATGTGAATAATTTTGTTTACACAGTTTACATTTGGTCCGGTCTACATCGGCAGATAATGAGAATTCCCAGAGATACTTGTAACCGAGTCTAAGCCGAGCAGTAGTAACATCTAGACACACCGAAACTACGATGTTGGTACAACGTCCGAACAAGTTTTAACATCTAACCAGTTATAACAACCAATATAGCAAGTTGTAACAACGTTCTTATACGTCATAAACACGTTAAGCCAAGATGCAACAACTTTATTACAAGTTGTAACAAGCGGAAAATAGAGACAGTTTCGGTTTGTGTTTCCAGGGAGGTTACACTCAACGTCTCCTTTAAAGACAGATTCTTTCGTTAACTCATCAGCTCCATCAAGCATTCGGAGGCCAACATGAGCTGGAGACCACATGAAATGGACCATTAAGTTCCTTTCTCATGTTAAGTATCTTTGTGGTGCGAGGGCACCCAAGGCTTATCCTCAAGGCTTCGGTCTGCAATTATTCAAGCCCTCTAAGCTTTCTTTCAAGCATCAAAACAAGCAAAGGTGCAGCATAATCCACTAAACATCTGATGTATGCAAGGTACATAATTTGACAGCTGACTAACACCAAGGTACCTATTTTACTGCTAGGTAACAGGGGCATAAGGTGAAAGAAACTCTGCCCATTGTTTCTCGTCGGCGCCTGGGATCGAACCCAGTGTGGGAACCGACCTGTGAGATTTATATTTATTTAATTTATATGAATTTATATTTACGTTAATTTGTATACTTCGATAGCAATTTGTATGATGTTAAGTGGACTGTATTTCTGCAATAATCTCATAATCTCACAAATCGATCCTCTACACATTAGGGGGGTTTATATTAATTGAATTTATATATATGCAGCCAATCAAACTACAGTATTAACTACACATTGAAGAGGTTCCTTATCTTATTGTACAGCAGGCCTTAGTCCACCAGGTATAACCAGGATGTAGACACCAAATTATCCTCTTTGAGGTAGCTTCCATCACCCAGTAACTGGTACGCAAAGCATGCTTCCTCGTCTTGATCTGTCAAAAGGGCGCTAGCTGTAAAGCCAGAATCCTAATATATGACAGCTATATAAGAGAAAACACTGTACAAGGGACCATAAAGACCTGGCTTAATTACCTTTAGTATGAGGCGATCTCGTGATCTAATCGCTCACCCTATCTAATGACATTAATGGCCACAAATGATAGATAAATGGGTTTCGGTAGAACACTTAACTTGTATTTGTTGACAGCGTGTTGATGATGGTACACCTTTGGTTTCCATAACACTTCGTCCAAGTAAAATTAACAGGAGCCGAATTGCTCCCATGCCTCTGGTCTCAGTACAATAGCAATGACTGACCACTCCCTCACAACTGACGCTACTGGCCTACATTGTCCAGATGACAGTAAGTGATAGAAGGGTCACATTTACTCTATTTTAATTCTGATAATTAAGTTAATTTATGAGATGTTTTTATGATGGTAAAGTCCAAAGACTAATGTATTTAAGAATAATTCCCAGCATAATAGGTAGTGAATTTATAACAGTATGTGGTAATGATATCCCGTTTTCTATAGACGGGAATTCCACTACAAATTATATTTTCTATGAGTTACTTGTTTATACAATACAGCAGCAATATTATCTGCCTGTATGTAATATTATTAAATGGTGTCGGATTTTCCGACACCCAGGACCACAGGATCACAAGTCCGGCGTGCTGTCCGCTCGGCCCACCCGCTCCCTTGATGAGATGACTAAACCTAGATCCCGACATGAGTCTAATACAGAGTTAAGAGTGTTCTGTGTGTTAGCACACCTAGTGGTGTGTATCATTATATCATCAGCATAGCTATCTCTGGGAATTCTCATTATCTGCTGATGTAGACCTGACCAAATGTAAACTGTCAACAAAATTATTCGCACACCCTTCATCACTATGTGATGGAGTGTGAAAAGATACGTGAATTCAGAGACAATTCTATAATCAATGTTCCAGCAATGTGTAAATATTTCATTCAAAATGATCTGCTACCCGAAATTTTAGCCAAATATCCCCTGTTTGCTAACTGTAGGTAGTAACTAAGTGATTGTAACCTATCCACCGCTGCCTACTGGATGGGGACCGGTGTGCAGGACAAGCTGTTATGACCCTGGGTTCTTAGTTGAAAACCAGAGGTCAAATTGAGTTCTAAATAATTACTATACATTAATTGATAGGATTGGATCATGTGAGAAGGATAGTTAATTAACAATAACATTTATACTCAAGGGCTTCTCTCACCGCTGATGCGTTATTGTTCCTATCTTCCTTGCCAGATGTAAGATGAATCTTGTTTCTCACAGAGCATTAAGACTCTTGTGCTTGTTGATTATTAAATATAATATTGAATTATCAGCTATTCTTAGAATGATTAAAGTAACTAGTAATGAATATCTGAGTAAACTTGGGATGATGTCTGCTGTACGATCAGCTGAGTATCCGTCCGGCAGCAATCAGAGTAGGAGGCAGCAGGGCTCTGCGTGGGTCGCTCTCTGGTTCTGGCTGTGGTTGTGTTCACGCTCCCCTTCGTGGGTTCTGTACTCCTTTTCCTTCTCTCTCTCTCTCCTTACTGTATCCTGATTCTCAGTTCTACAAGATAAGTATCTTATAATGTGTACTGGTCTCTGGCAAAAGTGTGTAATAGTTTGTGTAGCCTAAGCTAGTGTTTATATTCCTAAGATTACTCTAGGGTGTGTTAGTGAAACCATGAGTGTTCAAACAAGTGGTTTGCCTGTCCGGGATCGGAAATGTATATATATATATATATATATATATATATATATATATATATATATATATATATATATATATATATATGTGGGAACCGACCTGTGAGATTTATATTTATTTAATTTATATGAATTTATATTTACGTTAATTTATATACTTCGATAGCAATTTGTATAATGTTAAGTGGACTGTATTTCTGCAATAATCTCATAATCTCACAAATCGATCCTCTACACATTAGGGGGGGTTTAATAGTTTATATATATATGCAGCCAATCAAACTATAGAAATAACTACATACATTAAAGAGGTTCCTTATCTTATAGTACAGCAGGTTAGTCCACCAGGTATAACTAGGGTGTAGACACCAAATTATCCTCTTTGAGGTAGCTTCCATATCACCCTGTAACTGGTGCACAAATCTTGCATCCTCGTCTTGACCTGTCAAAAGTGCGCTAGCTGTGAAGCCAGAATCCTATATATGACAAGTATATCAGAGAAAACAGTACATGGAACATGAAGACCTGGCTTAATTACCTTTAGTTTGAGGCTTCCATGTGATCTAACCGGGACACCCTATATCCTGACATTAATGGCCATAAATGAATGATAAACGGGTTTCGGATAGACTTAACTTGAATTGTAGACATCGTGTTGACAATGGTACCTTTGGTTTCCATAACACTACGTCCAAGTAAATTTAACAGGAGCCGAATTTGCTCCCGTGTGAGCCTCTGGTCTCAATATAAACAATGGCTGTTTAACACTCCATGCTATTGACGTTACTGGCCGACATTGTCCAGAATGATAGGAGCCGAATTTGCTCCACACGTCTCGGAGGTGACACAACAATGGCTGCCCTCCTTCCTCACTGACGCCTGGCCTACTTTGTCCAGATTTCAGAAAGTGATAGAAGGGTCACATTTACTCTACTTTAATATTGATAATTAAGTTAATTTATATAAGATGTTTTTATGATGG